GTGGAATTTTTTGGGGGTCTTATGCAGAGTGCTGTAATACGAGAAGCAGAGTTTCAGATACGAATGTTTCACTGGAAAAGCTTAACGTCTTCGGCTAACTGTGACCAGGAACCATGCAGACTGTAAACAGACGCGCTTGGAGAAGGTCGGTGATATATTTTTTAGGAATAAAACAAAGTGATTAGAAGGAGAAGTTTAGTTTTTTGTTTTTAAATAGTGTTGTTTGATACATATAGTGCAATTGATTGGATACATATAGTGCAATTGATTGGATACATATAGTGTTATTGGATACATTTAGTGTTGTAGGGCACCTACAGTGTGTTGGATATATATTTTGTAATTGGATAAATATAGTGTTATTCGATACATATAGTGTAATTGAATACATATCGTGTTATTAAATATATATAGTGTTGTAGAATACACACAGCGTTATAGGATACATATAGTATTATTCGATAAATATAGTAATATTTTAGGTACATATATTGTCATTGGATACATATAGTGTCATTGGATACATATAGTGTTCTAGGATACATATATTGTAATTGGAATGTAATAGTGTTCTTGGATACATATAGTGCTATTGGATACATATATTGTTATTGGATACGTATAGTTATGTAGGATGCATAAAGTGTTATAGATACACATAGTGTTGGTGGATACATATATTGTTATTTGATACATATAGTGTTTTTGGATATATAGAGTGTATTATGATACGTATAGTGTTATTGGATACATTTATTGTTATTGTATGCATATAGTGTTATTGGATACATTTATTGTTATTGTATGCATATAGTGTTATTGGATATAAATATTGTTGTAAGATACATATATCGTTATTGGATACATATAGTGTTATTGGATAAATATAGTGTCGTAGGATAAATATATTTTTATTGGGTACATAAAGTGCTATTGGATACATAGCGTGTTATTGGATACATGTAGTGTTATTAGAGGCAAAAAGCGTTATTGGATACACATAGTGTTATTGGATACATATAGTATTTTTGGATACATATAGTGTTTTGGATACATAAAGTGTTATTGGATATATATATTGTAATTGGATACATTGTTGTAGGATACAGATAGTTTTATTCGATACATATAGTGTAATTTGATAAATTGTTGTAGGATACATATAGTGCAATTGGAAACATATAGTGTTATTGGATACATATAGTGTTGTAGGATAGATATAGTTTTTGGAAACATATAGTGTTGTAGGATACATATAGTGTTATTGGATACATATAGTTTGTAGAATAAATATAGTTTTATTGGAACCCTCTATTGCTTTAGTGCTATTGGATACATATTGGGTTATTGGATATATATATTTTTATATATATATATAAATATATATATATATATATATATATATATATATATAGTTTTATAGGTTATGTATAGCGATATTGGATATATTTAGTGTTTTTTGATACATTAAGTGTTATTTGATTCATATAGAGTTTTTGACACATACAGTGTTTTATGATAAGTATAGTGTTATTTGATACATACAGTCTTTTTGGATACATATAGTGTTATTGGATACATAAAAGTGTTATTTGATACACATATTGTTTATAGATACATTTAAGTTTATTGGATACATTTAGCGTTATTGGATTCATATAATGTTATTGGTAAATATAGTGTTATTGGATACATATAGTTTTGTTGCATACATATAGCTCTATTGAATACATCTAAAAAAAATGTTAATGCATATAGTGTTATTTGATATATATATATATAGCTTTATTGGATACATAGAATGGTATTTGATACAAAAATTCTCATTGGATACATTCTTGTAAGATACCTATAGTGTTATTGAATACATACAACGTTATTGGATACATATAGTGTTATTTGATTCATATACTGTTATTCAATACATTTGTAGTTGTAGGATAGATATATTTTATTTGGATACATATAGTGTTATTTGATACAAACAGTATTATTGGATAAATATAGTGTTGTAGGATACATGTAGTGTTTCTAAAACACATTATTTTATTTGATACATAAACTGTTGTAGGATACATATAGTGTTATATGATACATATAGATATATTAAATAAATATGGTGTTATTGGATACATATAATTTTACTGGATATATGTAGTGTCTAGGATACATTATTTTATAGGATACATATATGTTGTTTAATACATATAGTGTTACTTGATAAGTTATTGAGGATACTTTGAGTGTTATTTGATACATTGATGTGGTATACATAAAGTGTTATTGGACACAAATAGTATTATTTAATACATATAATGTTACTAAATACGTATAGGGTTATTGTAACCATATAGTGTTTATTTATACATATTTTGTTATTGGATACCTGTTGTGTTGTAGATACAGTTTTATTGGATACAAATAGTATTTTTGGATACAAATAGTGTTATAATATACATATAGTGGTATTGGATTCATATAATGATATTGAATACATATTTTGTTATTGGATACATTGTCGTAGGATTCACATAGTTTTGTACGATACATATAGAGTAATGGGTACATATAGTGTTATTTGATACAAAGTGTGTTTAGGATACATATATTGTTATAGGATAAATATAGGGTTTTATGATACATATAGTGTTATTGGACAGATATAATAGTATTGGATATTAATAGTGTTTTTGGATAAATATAGTGTTATTTCTATACATATAGTGTAGTAGGATACTTATAGTTTTATTGAATGCATATTGTGTTATTGGATACATGTAGTGTAATTGGATACATATAATGTCTTAGGATACTAATAGTTTCATTATATACATATACAGTTATTGGATACATATATTTTTATTGAATACATATAGTGTTTTGATACATATAATGTTTTAGAATACATATAGTGTTAATTGGATTCATATAGTGTTATTGGATGCATTGTTGCTTTTGGATACATTTAATGTATTTGATCTATAAACTAGTATTGTATACATATAATGTTATTGGATACATTGTTGTAAGATACATATAGTTTTACTGGAACAATATAATGTTTTAGGATACATACAGTGTTATTATATACATGTAGTTTTGTAAAATACATATAGCGTTATTAGATACATATAGCGTTATTAATTACATATAGTGCTATTGTGTAATTGGATACATCAAGTGTTTCTATATATATATAGTGTTATAGATTTCACATAGTGCTATTAGAAACACATACATATATACATACACAACACGGATACATATAGTGTTATTGGATACACATAATGTTGTAGGATACATATAGTGTTATTGAATTCATATGGTGGTGTTAAATACAAATAGTGTTATTTGATACCTAATATTGGTGTAAGATACATAGAGTTCTATTGGATGCATGCAGTTTCATTGAATACATGTAGTGTTCTTTGATACATTAAGTATTATCGGATACATATAGTGTTAATGGATATATGGTTGTAGGAGACATATAAAATGTTATTGGATACATATAGTGTTATAGGTTACATATAATGATATTGGATGAACTTAGCGTTATTGGATACATTGTTGTAGGATACATATAGTTTTGTACGTTACATATAGAATTATTGGATACATAAGTGTTTTTGAATACATGTAGTGCTTAGGATACATATATTGTTATAGCATAAATATATTGTTTGTAGAATTCATATAGTGTTACTGGATACATTGTTGTAGGATACGTGTATGGGTTTTGGATACATATAATGTTATTGGATACATATACTGTTGTAGGATACATATAGTTTTGTAGGATAAATATAGAGTTATTGGATACATATAGTTTTATTGGGTACATATATTATTGTAGAATACATATAGTGCTATTGTGTTATTGGATACAAGTATTGTTATTGGATATATATAGAGTTATAGATTGTATATAGTGTTAATGGATACATATAATGTTGTAGGATACATGTAGTGTTTTTGGATACATAAAAGTATTATTAGTTACATATAGGGTTATTAGATACATATAGTATTTTAGGATACATATAGTGTTATTGGATACATATAGTGTTATCGGATACATTTAGTTTTGTAGGAAAAATATAGTGTTTTTGGATCAATATATTGTTATTAGAAACATATAGGGTAATTTGTTAGACATAGTGTTATTAGATACGTAAAGTAATATAGGATACATATATTTTTATTGAATACATATAGTTTTTTGGATACACATAGTGTTCTTTGATACTTATGGTGTTATTTAATATTAATAGTGTTATTGGATAAATACATTTTCATAGGTTTTATATAATGCTGTAGGACACAAAAATATAGTGTTATAGGATACATATTGTTATAAGATACATATAATGTTATTGGATACATATACATATAGTGAGAGTTGCTAGGTTTGGTCCCACTATTAAAAAAAAAAAAATTTCCAGGCCCCCCCCCCCCCCAAACACGAAATAAGCTATTCCGGTGTTTTAAAATGTGATCACGTAAAATGGAAAAAATAAAAAATACCGTCCCTCTTACGCCTCGGAATATTTATATTTTAGGCACTGGAATCGAAATCAGATTTTAACCAAAAACATTTTAGTTGACTGAGGGTTAAATACAACAACGATTTTTTGCATCATGAACACGAAGACAAGAAGGTTGAACTTAATGAGCTCAACAGCCGTTAAGTTTAACAGCTGCTATGTTGGGTTTTGATATTAAAACGAAATCCATTGATAGATCTAATCCTTTATGTTTCACAGAAAATGGTGACATTGCGAGCTTTCCGGAAACTTAAAATCACCGTGCTCATCGCCATCGTCTTCATCATCAGCCTGCTCTGCCTGTTGTCCGTCACACTCCAAAACGTGCTGACCTCAAAGTCGCTCAACCCGTACTTCAAATCAACGAATCCGTCCGGCGACGGGCCGAACACGACCGTCAACCCGGTGGTCAAGCTGAAGCTGGACACCATGAAACTGGAGCTCAACGATAGCAAGATCACCAACGACGCCATGTTCCCCGCCAAGAGGATCGGGCGCTACATCATGGTGGACGCTGACCGATGCCGCGGGGTCAAAGTACTGGACATCATCATCATCGTACACACGGCCCCGGCTAACATGGAGAGACGTCAACGGATTCGGGACACCTTCGGCAACGAGGACCTCTTCGTCCCTTTTCGCGTTCGGACGGCTTTCTTGTTGGGGAAGACCGTCAACCGAACCCTGGAGCGCATGCTGTTGCTCGAGCACGTGACCTACAAAGACACTATCATGGGGGATTTTATAGACTCTTACCGCAACCTGTCGCTCAAGGTGTCATGGGATACCGCTGGGTGAGCGAGTACTGCACCAACTCGAGGTTCGTGCTCAAGATCGACGATGATGTCATGATCAACATGTACAAACTGCTGTACTCTTTCCTGAACCACATGAGCGGCAAGCCGAAGTCCATCTTCTGCAACTTGTGGCAAAAGAATCGGATTCCCATTTTGCGGCAGGGCAAGTGGAAGGTCGAGCCGCACGTCTTCTCCAAACAGAACACGTTCCCGTACGACTACTGCAGCGGCTTCGTGGTCATCATGACGACGGACCTGATCCGCCCAATGTTTGAGGCGGCAATGATCACCCCATTTTTCTGGATAGACGACGTGTATCTCTTCGGGATGCTGCCCAGCGTGGTGGGCAGTGTCACGTACTACAACTACGCGCTGAACCGGAACATGACGCTCAAGGAACAGAACGCGCTCAACTGCACCAGAACTCAAGGACCGAGGTGTCCGATCTTCGCGTCCCTCGTCAGTGACAAGTTGTTTTGGGGTTACTGGGACCTAATCAAAGGGATATACACGCAGGCCAGCTCTTGGCGCGTGGAGAACAAGATAGTCACGTGATAAGAAGAGGGGTAGTTTAAATGTCGTAAAACTCTATTGACCAGACGTATGTTAATATCACGAGTACCAAGACATGGAGAAACTGATTTCATAGACTTTATCATAATTTTTGTGTGTGTGTGTGTGTGTGTGTATTACTTAAATCAGGGATCAAATTTCTGAAATGAATTTAAAAAAAAACCAACAATTTATATAATGAAGCAGATTCAGTCAAGAGGAGGACATACTTTTGTTACAAATTCTATATCATCGTTTTTTATTTAATGATTGAGCTGTAACGACCGCGAAGCATTGTCCTTACTCTCTAATCTGTGTGACCAGAAAGTCACGTGTGCGGTGTTTACACTCGAACAATTCAGCACCCTTTAATTGTTTGACATTCATGTGTCATATTTATTTGATGACGTTTCAGTATTTCATGTATAAACATATGGTCTTGCAAGGCTAGAAGTTTTGTGGGCATTTATTTATTTATTTGTATAAAATACCGTCTCTACAAAATTTGACCTTGTATTATGTTTTTTAAATGTCAGATTAGAACAGATGTCGTAAAGCTCTATTGACCAAAAGTACAAACTCTATTGACCAGAAGTACAAACCCCCAAACCAGGTCAAATGAGTCACTCCGGCTAAATTTTTTTTAAAGGTCAAATTAAGAGTAAATTGGTCCAACTAGAGTCATACCTCTCGATTGGCTATTCTCTTAACCACCCCTTCTATGATTTATTACAGACAAATTGTGATGTGATTGGGTTGAGATTTATCCTCTATGAACTATGAAAAACAAATTGTTTTTTGATTGGGTTGAAAGTCATCTTCTATGAACTATGACACATTGTGGTGTGATTGGGTTGATAGTAATCTTCTGTGAACTATGACAAACAAATTGTGTTGTGATTGGGTTGATAGTTGACAAACAAATTGTGTTGTGATTGGGTTGATAGTTGACAAACAAATTGTGTTGTGATTGGGTTGATAGTCATCTTCTATGAACTATGACAAACAAATTGTGTTGTGATTGGGTTGATAGTATTCTTCTATGAACTATGACAAACAAATTGTGTTGTGATTGGGTTGATAGTATTCTTCTATGAACTATGACAAACAAATTGTGTTGTGATTGGGTTGAGATTCATATTCTATGAACTATGTCAAACAAACCAAGCGCCTTAAAGTAGAATATTGTATTCAGCCATTATTGATCACTTGTTTCTTGGGGCGTCCACCCCCACCCTCTAAGTTGTTAGACCAAACAACCCCCCCCCCCCGACTTTGGACTTGTTAAATTGTGTGTGTGTGGGTCATGCCAGTCCTGGTATTGTTGCTTAATTAAAGAGTTAACTATGAATATTAGTAATACAAAAAGATTGTACATTTAAAAATTGCTAGAGCGTGGTTGAATACTCTATGAAATTCAAACGATTTTAAATTTAATAATAGTAGATATTAAGTATTTTATTGCATCTATAATTTTTTTTAAAAACTTTAGTATTAATTCTTAAAATAATTTTTTTGTCGTCCACTGGACGGCTGTGAGGTCAAAATATGAGTTCAATTCTTTGTCTAAGTCAGACAATTAATAAAATAATTTTATTTTTCTCCTAAGAAAAATTCTCTCCCTCCACAGAAAAATAAAATAATTTGAATTTTTTATATTCCCATTTTAATTTTGTTACCCGAAGAAACTTGGGGGGGGGGATTTTATTCCTAATGCCCCTCCACCCACATAAATCCGATTGCCCCCCCCCCCAAATCCCTCCACTCTGAAGACGCCCATTGTTTGTTTTTGATATCTATTTATTGTTTAACCCAAAGAAAAAAATGATCTAAGGATATATTTTTTTAAAGTAAGACAGTTGAGTAGTCAGAATTTTCAATTCGGTCTGGATTCTTGAATGTAATGAAACATTTAACATCGATGATATCAATAACGTATCTGTTGTTGTCTTTTTCTGATCAAAACTTTTGAATGACCGATATTGTTTGAACTGTTTAGACAGCTGATGAGTGATTGGATTGACACTGTGACGATGATCTGATGTTAATTCTTACCAACGACTGACGTTGATTTTTTTCCTACTACATTGACACCAATTAATAAAACTTTGACTCCGCCAGTTTGACACCGACCAATAAAAGTTTAAATCAGCCAGACTTTGACACTAACCAAAAGAGGTTTGACTCCGCCACTAAGACTTTATTACAGTGACTGTATGAATTTCTTATTGTGACCTTATGAATCTAATGTGACGAAGATGTGATTTAATTTGAGATATTGAGAAGCAATTCTTACCGACGAATGACGACAGGTAAACGTATTTTTCAGGATTCTGACGTTAATTTATGTACTACTTACACCAATAAAGGTTTAATTTTGCCAGACTTGTGACTCCGACCAATAAAGGTTTAACTTCGCCAGACTTGTGACTTAGACCAATAAAGGTTTAACTTCGCCAGACTTGTGACTCCGACCAATAAAGGTTTAACTTCACCAGACTTGTGACTCCGACCAATAAAGGTTTAACTTCGCCAGACTTGTGACTCCAACCAATAAAGGTTTAACTTCGCCAGACTTGTTACTCCGACCAATAAAGGTTTAACTTCACCAGACTTGTGACTCCGACCAAGAAAGGTTTAACTTCGCCAGACTTGTGACTCCGACAAATAAAGGTTTAACTTCGCCAGACTTGTGACTCCGACCAATAAAGGTTTAACTTCGCCAGACTTGTGACTCCGACCAATAAAGGTTTAACTTCGCCAGACTTGTGACTCCGACCAATAAAGGTTTAACTTCGCCAGACTTGTGACTCCGACCAATTAAGGTTTAACTTCACCAGACTTGTGACTCCGACCAATAAAGGTTTAACTTCGCCAGACTTGTGACTCCGACCAATAAAGGTTTAACTTCGCCAGACTTGTGACTCCGACCAATAAAGGTTTAACTTCACCAGACTTTGACTCCGACCAATAAAGGTTTAACTTCACCAGACTTTGACTCCGACCAATAAAGGTTTAACTTCGCCAGACTTTGACTCTGACCAATAAAGTTTTGACTTCGCCAGACTTTGACTCCGAACAATAAAGTTTTGACTTCGCCAGACTTTGACACCGACCAATAAAGGTTTAACTTCGCCAGACTTTGACACCGACCAATAAAGGTTTGACTCCGCCATTATGACTTTACTACAGTGACTTTGTGAATTTTTTACTGTGACCTTGTTAATCTTTGACAGTGACATTGTGAATCTTTGACAGTCACGGTGTGACTCTTTGACAGTGGCGTTGTAAATCATTGACGTTGGTGTTATGACTATGCGATTGTGACATTACAAATATGTGTATGTAACAATATGAATCTTTGACTGCAAAATTGTCAACCTTTTATCGTGACATTGTTAATCTTTGAATCTGTCGCCTATAAGATAAAATCATCAGGATATAAAAAAAAAACTTTTTAAAACCCAAATTAAATAAACTCATTGTATACTTTTTCATTTTCATTTTTTGTTGATGAAGCAACATGCACTTATTTTAATTGGACTTTTTATTAATATATTAATTGTACAACAAGGCCAGCGCTAGTCTATTGAAGATTAGAATGGGGAAGATTTTTGTTTTCCTTAGTCGTTCAAACAACTGGAAATACATATGCATTTATTTGCTGGTTTTGAAAAGTTTTCTATTTACTGTTGGTTGTTTTTGTTCAATTTTTTCAACCAAACCAGGCCAATGTCGGCAGCCTCCTAACAACGGCCTACTGCCGAGCCAGGCCAATGTCGGCAACCTCCTAACAACGGCCTACTGCCGAGCCAGGCATGTCGGCAACCTCCTAACAACGGCCTACTGCCGAGCCAGGCCAATGTCGGCAGCCTCCTAACAACGGCCTACTGCCGAGCCAGGCCAATGTCGGCAACCTCCTAACAACGGCCTACTACCGAGCCAGGCCAATGTCGGCAACCTCCTAACAACGGCCTACTACCGAGCCAGGCCAATGTCGCCAACCTCCTAGCAACGGCCTACTACCGGAATGATGTCGGAATATTTGCCAGAGTTGATGCCCGAGTAGATGCCAGTGTAGATGCCCGATTTGATGCCCGAGTACAGGGTCACCAAACTTTATTAGCACCGGGCCGGATAACGGACAAAATGACGAGTGCGGGCCGTACAATCATTCTGTACAATACTTGCAAGCCAGAACAAAAGCTCTGGGAAAAGGAAGATGAAATAGGTTTAGTATTACATGTTAATCACGTATGACAGGCGTGCAAAAACAAAGACAACCAGCTTATTTATTTGCTAAAAAAGTTATCAACGAAGGCGACAAAAAAAAACAATGACATCAGACCTAATGCGCACATATGCAAATCTCACAAACTAAGCAGCAAAAAGAGTTGGTAAGATTTGTGAAATTGACTTTTTGGCTTTCAAGATATCATCAATGTTTGGTTAGGAATTGCTGCAGCCAATCAAGAGAACTCTTTTCAAATGTTCATTAGTCAATCTCATTCGATGGGGTGCCTTCACAGACTTCATTTTTGAAAATGTTTGCTCACAGACATAAGTTGTTCCAAAGACTGATGCCATACCAGCGGCGAATTTCTTCAGATTCGGAAACTCATCGTCAGGGAAGCAGTGATAAAATTCAACAATTTCCCTTCTCTGTGCTTCTCTTTCAACAAGTCATTTGCTTGCAAATCAGTGAGCTCCAGCTGTAGTTTAAATGGCACCCCATCAAGGTTAAAATCAAAAGAATTCTGAAACAGTAGAATGTAAATCTCAATTCTTTTCTCAATTCAGATATGAAAATCTCTCACAAAAAATACTTCTTCAAGTGACTAATAATATTTTTTGGAAAATCAAAAATCAAAGTTGACATTCGCGTCGATTGTATCGCAAAACTCTTTAAAACCGTGAAAATTAAAAAAAAAAAATTCTCCTTACAGTTGTACTTCACACATAGACAACCTTCTCCTTTTATCCTTTATTATTGTGTAGGGCAGGGGTCGGGAACCTATGGCTCGCGAGCCAGATCTGGCTTTATTGATGGCTGCATCTGGCTCGCAGACAAATGTTCGATTATAAAAAAAAAAGTCGCATTAATGGTAAGAAAAACTCATTATTGATTAGCAACAGCATAATAATGTTATTCAAAAGAATTCAGAGACATAATTATTGCATTTTTAGTGTTGAAATTACACAAAATGCCCACATTTACTTGAATTTTTAGTTTTAAACATAATGCATGGCTCTCACAGAATTACCTTTCAAAATATGTGGTGTCCGTGGCTGTCACAGACAAAAACGTTCCCGACCCCTGGTGTAGGGATACAGATGTGGTTATTCTTTCCCCGAAGTTTCAAGTTCAGTTCATTTATGGTATGCCGAGTAGATGCCCGAGTAGATGCCAAATTTAATGACCGAGTTGATTCCCAAGGAGATGCCCAAGTTTATGCCCGAGTGGATTCCCGAGTTGATGCCCTATGGTTATTCTGACCCTGAAGTTTCAAGTTCATTTCATTTATGGTATGTCGAGTAGATGCCCGAGTAGATGCCAAATTTAATGATTTAATGCTCGAGTTGATTCCTAAAAAGATGCCCAAAATAATGCCTTCCCGATTTGATGCCCTAGTAGATGCCCCAGTAATTGCCGGGCACAACCAAGAAATAACACCGATGTCCCCTTAAAAAAGTCAGTTTTCACGGGATTCAATGTATGGCTTTCCTCGTGTTCATCGTTAAAACAACCGGAGAACATAAACAAATAATGAATTGTTAAAAGACTGCCCTTTTAATCTTAAAGAACTGATTTATAAACATGTATCCTTAAAGAACCTGGGGTCTTTAACATAGTCCTTACTGAAAATTCCCGGTGTGGATGAACACAGAAAAAAGTCTTGAGGAGTGCGCTCTTTAGAAGCGATAGCGCAAAAATTATGGAACAGTTGCATCAATCTTTGAGGGGAGTTGCAAATGATAAAAAAAATCTTTTGAGAAACATTTAAACACTTTTCTGTTTAAATAGATTGAAGAAAACCAGAGCGCAGTGAGCATGTTAAAGTAGCATGGATAGCAGCGCTGTATAAATATCCAATCAATCAATCTGTTCAACTACAAAGGACGGAGATGCCCTGAAAGTGTTACTCGATGGTTTAGTTGGCTTAAACTGTCGAGTTTGAGCGGGGAACCGAAAGCGAGTCATATAAGGAGTTTACTTAGTATACTGAGTTTGATATCTTTTCTGATTCAAATGTTGAGTCGGTTAGCGTTAAACATCAGGTTTCAGAGTGCACTGGGTGTGGGGACACTGTGCACCAGGTGCGAAGACATTGTAGCAGGTGTGGAGATACTGTACCAGATGTGGGGACACTTTGCACCAGGTGTGGAGATACTGTACCAGATATGGGGACACTTTGCACCAGGTGTGGAGATACTGTACCAGATGTGGGGACACTTTGCACCAGGTGTGGAGATACTGTACCAGATGTGGGGACACTTTGCACCAGGTGTGGAGATACTGTACCAGATGTGGGGACACTTTGCACCAGGTGTGGAGATACTGTACCAGATATGGGGACACTTTGCACCAGGTGTGGAGATACTGTACCAGATATGGGGACACTTTGCACCAGGTGTGGAGATACTGTACCAGATGTGGGGACACTTTGCACCAGGTGTGGAGATACTGTACCAGATATGGGGACACTTTGCACCAGGTGTGGAGATACTGTACCTGATATGGGGACACTTTGCACCAGGTGTGGAGATACTGTACCAGATGTGGGGACACTTTGCACCAGGTGTGGAGATACTGTACCAGATATGGGGACACTTTGCACCAGGTGTGGAGAAACTGCAGCAAGTGTGGAAATAATGCACCAGGTGTGGGTATGCTGTACACCAGGTGTGAAGATATTGCACCAGATGTGGGGACACAGCACCAGATGTGGATATACTATGGCATATGAGTTCAATACTCAACCTAAACCAGGCAATTAACACATACATATACATAAATAACACATATATATACATATACATACAATTTTTACAACAGCAGCCATAATGAATTTTTTTTAAAAAAGGGGGAAGGGGTATGGCACTTTATTGAGACTGAAAGCGTTTGCTTCCGCCCCCCCCACCCTAAGTAGACGCCCCTGATCCATACATACAAGAGCGGGAACAAGTTGAATGAGATGTCTGAAATGTTTGACTGTAAAACAAAAGGACTCACATTCCACGCACTGGCCTTGGATGGACATTGTTTGGCGCTGAACAAATACTTACTAATAGTTCATTAAATGTCGTCAGACATAAAATGTGTGGGGGGAAATAATGGGGGGGGGGGAATCCCCAACAGGGCAATTTGGATTGAGCTTATTTGAGCTCCTAATTCGGGAGCTTAACGGAAAAAATTATCAATAGATGACAGTAGCCCAGGGTGCGATAAACCGGAGTAATGACCCCTAACAATTTATTTACTTTTGGGTGCACGATTATTGCAAGCTGACCATTTCTGTTTTATTGTTTTTTTTAATATGTTAATTCCAGTACCTTATTTATATATTCTCTGGAAATTTCTCCAAGGTATTTCCTTAAGGTATTCGTGAGTTTCAACCAGTTCATTTGAAGACTACACTATCAAAAATAATTAATTTAACAAAACAATCGATTACATCTGAGACCTAGATATACATACAATAAAAGAATTATAATTTATGCAGTTATTCAAATGAGTGATCCCGATGATTTTTTAAAATTTTACTTCAAAAGAACGGCCCCCCGCCCCCCACCCCCCCCCCCCCCAACCAGACGTGTCCTAGTCGTAAACTTTGTAACTACAAGTTATTGTTTATGTTTGGACACCCATGGCGACGAAACGAGTTTGAACGTCCTGGCTTTGAATTTAACAGGAAAAAAAAATAATGGGGGGTCACGCTACACCAGTGGTCCCCATCCTTTTAGATTCGATGAATCTCATTTAGAGTCAATCTTACTGGAGAACCCCCTTGGACCTACCCTATGTCTTATACATGTTAATAACGGTTACGAATACTTTCCTTGGAGTGGGCGCGGATCCCCTGGAAGGTTCACGCGCGGCACAGTTTGGGAAGCACTGCCTTACGTGATTGTCAGATGAGGGGGTTACAATTTCAAATCGGCGTGTCTTGTTCTTTGGTTTGTGTGTGTGTGTGTGTGGGTGTGTGTGGGTGGGTGGGTGTGGGGGGGGGTTAATAGAAAAGAATTAATCAATAGCAAAAGACACCCTTAATATGTATTCCGCCCCACCCACCTCCCTATATTGCCACTGCTCCACTCAAACTTCTCGCATCACTGATTAGTCGCTCGTTAGCATGTCGTTACGTTGTTGCAGACGTCTTTATTCTTGGTCTTGAATAACAAGAAACGACTTTTTTTTTTTTATTATGGGTATATCAGTGGTTGCCAACCTTTTTAAACTAACGGAGCCATCTTCAGCTGAATCAATATCTAAGATTGGAATGCCTAAGGCCAACCGTTTTTCATACAAGTTTAAATCATTTTTATTTATTTTGTTTCCTAGGGTGGTCGCGGAACCCCCCCCCCCCACAAAGTGCCCCTTTGGC